ATGTATTTATTATATAAAATTATCTTATAAAAATTTATTTAAAAATTAAATTAAAACAATTAAATTTGATAAAAATAAAAAATACATTAAATATAGTTTAAACCTATGTTTAATGCAAATTAAAAAAATTCTGCCAGCCAGTTTCTTTCTTTCCCTTTTTTTTTTTTTTAATTTGTTTACTTTTCATTGGTTTAGTAAGTTCATATGAGCAGTGCTAGGGGCACTCTCCTCCTGCACTCTCCGGCTAATAATTTCACATTTATTGAGCCACGTTATTTTGGTTGGTGAGAGGTTGCAAGCTGTGAAATAATGTGGCCCAATAATTTCATTGGTTGGTGAGAGGTTGCAATGTGGTCCAATAATTTCACATTTATTGGGCAATAATTTCACATTTATTAGGCCACGTTATTTTGGTTGGCGAGAGGTTGTAAGCTGTGAAATAACGTGGCCCAATAATTTCATTGGTTGGTGAGAGGTTGTAATGTGGTCCAATAATTTCACATTTATTGAGCCACGTTATTTCACAGCTTAAAACAAGCTTATGTGGCCCAATAAAAATGGAAGTGTTGGGCCAAGAGTGCAAGAGGTGAGTGCCCCTACCACTGCTCAAGTTGATATTTGCTTTTCCACAGAAAAGAACAGATTATGTTTTTTTTTTGGTACATGAAAAGAAAAAATTATTTAATTTTTGGTTCTCCTTTTCTAGAGATGAGAGCTTATTTGTCCATTTGTACAGTACACATACACAGGTTTCCACTTTCTCTAGAAAAATCACTGATTTTTGGTCTGATTGAAATGACAAGTCGGCCCCGTGATTTTTGGGCTGGTTCGATGGAACCCAAAGGGAACCCAGAACCCAGCTCTATTTTATTTTTTTTTTTATATGATTATTTGTCAATAAATTATTCAAATTGCAGGTTGTTGCGAGTGATGTTTGGATAATTACGTTTAGTGAATTGAGCTGGGTTCGATGGAACCTATTTCCTGGATTACATCGAACCTAGATTTACTGGGTTCCGTCGAACTTCCGATGGGCAAAGAAGCAATTATTAGTGGTGATGTGGGATCTATTTGGATGGATTTGGTGTGTTTTCGCCAGGTAGCATGTGACATGGCAAAAGTTTTATTCATGTCATCACTTTTTGAAGTTTTGCTCTCCATGTCATAAAAAAAAATATAAAAAATGTCACCTAAGCAGAATTAATGGTCCAAATTAACAGAAGGACTAATGGAGTGCATTTCGTATAGTTGAGGGATCAAAAAAATGTAAAAAATTATTAAAGGACCAAAAATGTTCATTTCTTAAAATTGAGGGACCAAATCAAAAAAAATATAAAAAATACCAAGCAGAGTTAATGGTCCAAATTAACAGAAGGACTAACGGAGTGCATTTCGTATAGTTGAGGGATCAAAAAAGTGCAAAAAATTGTTAAAGGATCAAAAATGTTCATTTTTTAAAGTTGAGGGATCAAATTAAACATTTAACCATTGATTTACCATTGGCTTTTTATACTACAGACTATCTTTTTCAGTGAG